ACTGGCAGTGGGCTGAGCGGCTCAGTCCGCTGCCAGTCTGGGGTTCCATCCGCCGGCTCCTGCCAGCCAGGGTCCCGGCTGCTGGCCCCGTTCAGCCTGTTGCCAGTCTGGGATCCCGGCCCTGCCCATGTAGAGTGGGTACCTACCTTCTCCCTGGTTCTAGCCCATTCTCTTCCTCTCTCTCTGCACTGAACTGAGGGTGGGAAGTGCACTAAGCACAGGGCTGGGGGTGAGGGAGCAGGCTGGGGGTTGGGGTGTAGGGTCTGGCCAGGAGCTAGAATGAGGGAGGGGGCTCAGGGTTGGGGCAGAAGGTTTGAGTGTGGAGGGCTTATCTGGGCAGCTCCCATTTGGTGCGAGGGTGCAGGTGAGAATGGCGGGGGGTTGTGTGCAGGAGCTCCCGTTTGGTGCTCAGGGTGGGGGTGGGAATGTGGGGAGTGCAGAAGTCAGGGCATGGAGTGTGGGGGGCTGGGTATGTGTGGGGGGTGCTGGAGTCAGAGCTGGGGTCTTGGGGGGATGCAGGGGTCAGGGCAGGAGGCTGGGATGTGTGGGAGGTACAGGGGTCAGGGCAGAGGGCTGGGAGTGTGGGCTAGGGTCGTGGGGGTGCTCCCAGCCCCCTGACCAGAGCGGCTCACGGCAGGGGGCTGGAGGGGATATGCCCTGATTCCACCCCCCCTTCCCCACCTCTTCTCTGCCTCCTCCCCAGAGCAGTGAACGCGCTGGGGCTCCGCTTCTCCCCCCTCCTGCACAAGGGCCATCAGCTGATTGGCTGAAGGGAGGGAGAGGAGGAGGAGGGGCAGGAACCCAGCACACTAGGGAAAGAGGCAGGGGAGGTTGCCTGTTCTGTAGCAGCAGCCAGCAGGACCAAGCTTCTTCACCCTGCCCCCACAGGGGGCAGAGAAGAGCGGGCCGGGGCAGGCAGGATTTTTAATTGCACGCTGCTGTCTGGGTTTGACAGCGGGCTGAGCGGGGCCGACGGCTGGGACCCAGCAAGCAGCAGTGTGCCATTAAAAATTGGCTTGTGTGCCATCGGTTCTAGAACAGGGGTCGGCAACCTAACACTCTTTAATGAGGACGTAACGCTGCCAATTAAAAAAAACTAATTGAGGGAAAAACCTATATTAAACTAATACAGATCTAGTTTCCTCAGCTAGCATGCCCATCAAGCTAAAGATGTCAGAGCATGCAGAAACTCAAACTTTGCCACAACTATCAGATTTTTGTAGTGTTGTCGGCAACTGCAGACTGATTTTAAAGCCCCCTGTACTAATAACTGTGTGAGTGAACCCCTGTGCTCAGGCAAAGCCCCTTTTGACTCTCAGTGGATGATCAAAGAGTGAAAAAAGTTCAGACCAATATATCAAACAGTTAAAAGGAAAACAAAAGTTCCCTGTTTTTTAAATCTGAAAAGTATAGCACCACCTTTAAGGAATTATCTGAAACCGTATTTTAGCTATTTCTATCTCGTATATACCCCATTATCTATACATTTTTCAACTTTATAAAAGAGCTACCTCACTGATTTAATTATCGTTGAATTAAGTAATAGATGACCACTAGAAATACAGTAACATGTAATTTTAAAGTGCTGATGAAAAAATCATTTTTAGTACATTTTATGGGTGTCACGTAGTTGTACTTGTACAGAGAAAGGCACAACACGACTGGAGAATATCTACAAATTTCCTTTCCCTTACCTAAACTTAAAGAACTAGCAAAACTGAAAATTTTACACGTCTAATTTACTTAAACTTTTTGTTTTCTATATTTTTTCAATTTGGACAATGTAAATAGACTATCTGGTTTCTCTTTTTAGACACTGTCAAGTGAGTGTCAGGTCCTGGTTCTCATGCACTAGTACAATGCTGCAAAGTTTGCATTCGCCACTGGTTGGGAATATTTATTTGTTAAAAAGTTACACTGGAATGTGATATTATACAGTTGGGTGTTTTGGGTTTGTTTTGTTTTTAGCATTGTTGTTTTAAATACACAATCCAAATTCGGCCTGTCTCTTTCAAGTCCCTCAATCTCTCTTTTCCAGTCACTTGTTCTCCCTCTCCTACCCCACAAAAACAAAAAACCAAGATGTACCATCAGACAGGACATATTCAGGACAGAACAAAACGTTCTGCTTCATGTCCGTCTTTTTGTGTGTCATTAACTCCAAACGCTTTCCTTGAAATAAGCTACATTATATTTACCATTCCCACTGTGTGGAGAGATACAGCACCAGTACGATCACCCATGAAATCCTCTCAGCCTAGACAAAATAAAGTCTACTCACCTCATATACAGGTTTCAAAACAACTAGAGCACCACAATAGACATGACTGAGCATCCCCATCCCTTCTCATTGCTCCTACTGCAAGGCTGTAGTGTGCAATAAAAGTTTTAAAAAAAAATTCTCAGGGATTGTCTACACTTACGGTGCAGCTGCACCGCTGTGGCACTTAGAGAAGACTCTACCTGCACTGAGAGGCGAGCTCATAAGTACTCCACCTCCATGAGAAACAGTAGCTATATCAATAGGAGAAGCCCTCCCACTGACATAGTGCTGTCTACGCTCGGGGTTAGGACAGTATAACTGCATTGCTCAGGGTGTGTGGATTTTCCACATCCCTGAGCAAAGCAGATATAAATACAGAAACTGGTAGTATAGACCAGTGGTTCTCAACCACAGGTACATGTACCCCTGGGAGTACACAGCGGTCTTCCAGGGGGTACATCAACTCATCTAGATATTTGCCTAGTTTTATAACAGGCTACATAAAATGCACCAGCAAAATCAGTACAAACTAAAATTTCATACCGTCAAGGGCTTGTTTATACTGCTCTATATACTATATATCAAAATGTAAGTACAATATTTATATTCCAATTGATTCATTTTATTGTACGGTAAAAATGAGAAAGCAAGCAATTTTTCAGGAATAGTGTGTTGTGACACTTGTATTTCTCTGTCTGATTTTGTAAGCTAGTGGTTTTTAAGTGAGGTGAAACTTGTGGGTACACAAAACAAATCAGACTCCTGAAATTGATACAGTAGTCAAGAAAGGTTGAGAGGCACTGGTGAAGACCAAGGGCGTGTCTACACTTGCCATTTAAAGTCCAAAAAGTCCCTTTTTTGCGCAAAAACTGTGGAAGCGTCTCCCCTTGCCAATTACTTTTTGCGGTGAAACTCAGAAGTTTCACCGCAAATAGAAAACCACCTCCACAAGAGGCATACAGTTCTTACCGGTGATACTTTTGCGGTGATGTGCAAATGGAGACACGTTCTTCCTGTTTACACAGCTTTTAGCCTCTGGACGATATCCCACAGTGCCTATGTGACCACTCTCGCCAGCAGCTCTGCTGCCAGGTAAACTGCCATCTGCCCCTCCCCCTGTAAAGCCTTGGAGAACTTTGAAATTCCCCTTCCTGTTTTCTTGGCAAATACTCACTTATCATCTGGCCAGGTGACAATGGCTGCTCCATGGAGCAGCGGATCCCCTGCTTGGAGCAATGCTGAGCTACTGGAGCTGATCAGTGTTTGGGGAGAGGAGGCTGTGCAGGGACGCAAGATGCCCCATGATCATGCCCCCTCCTTCCCACAAGACCTATCCTCAAAATGGAGAGAGCTGTACTCTTGAATAGCTTCCCTCAGTGTGCTGCTCTCATTGGCGATGGAAGTGCTGCAAATGTGAACACAATCTGTGGAAGTAAGTGAGAACACAAACCAGCGCTTTTCTTTTACTGATTCTCTATCACCGGTGAAACTGACAGCGCAAAAACTCTGCAAGTGTAGACATAGTCCAAATCGCAGTCTTGCAATGTTGGGAGACCTAATGTAGCTGGGACTGAGACTTACTCTGAGACTAAAGGTATTTCTATGCTACAGCACTGCACCTGTGCCACTATAGTGCGGATACTTCCTACATCAACAGAAGGGGTATTTTTGTCCATGTATATAATCCACTTCTCAAGAGGCAGTAACTAGCCCAACAGAGGAATTCCTCTGTTGACCTAGCTGCATCTAGTCATGGTTAGGTCAATTTAACTACGTTGCACGGGACACTAAGTTTTTCCACAGCTCTGAGTGCTGCAGTTGTCAATCTAATTTTTAGGTGTAAACAAGGCCTAAGTTATTGTCCCTTTAAAGAGTTACACATGTCATTAGACCAACTGCACATGGGAAGCAATATCTGTAGTTTCATTTCCTGGGACTGTTATTTTGCATTGGAGGATCAGGGAAGGAAACTGAAGGGACAACTTGGAACTTACAGCAAGCAGCTCCTAATGCAAAAAGATGCCATTCATGACCCCAGCTCCCTAACTAAATCCCAAATTCCTATTTACTTGCCCTTCACTGAAGCTGTAGCCCAATTTAAACAGCTTCCCACATTCAACCAGTCTCAACATCCCCATCCAGCCATTTCCCTTTCCTGCCATCAACCCCACACGTTACCCAATACATGTGCCATACACTCTTCTCCTCTTGGTCCATCCTTACTCCCCTCCCCCTTGAGCCCTCCCACACCCACCAACTTCAGCCCCACCAGCCCCATCCCCTCCCCCTTGAGCCCCTGCTAACCTAAACCCTCCACCAGCCCCCTCACATCCACCTTCCTCATCCGCACCTACCTCTCTCGACTCCCCACCCCCTTGACCTCCCACACCCACCAAGCACACCGCTCCAGCTCCCACCTCAGCCCCCTCCACACCCACCATCCTCATTCCGCTCTCCCTCCAGCTCTCCCACACCCACCAATCTCGGCCCCACTATCCCCACACCCAACAACTACACACACACCCAAAACCTAACTCCCCAGCTCCTGGAGCCCCCCCACCAGCATCGTCGCCGCCACCATAAGGCCCCCTCCCACCAACTCACCCCTGTGTCCCCACCTACTGGAGCCCCACCCCCACACAAGGCCCCTCACACGAACGCACCCCTGTGTCTCTTCCCCTCCCCCCGAAAATGCACCCAAGCAAAAGAGCAGCTGCCGGCCGCCGGCCGCTCTCACCGCGCCTTGCCGGATCCGGTGTCCAGGCCGCGACGCTGGGGTCCAGCCTAGGCTCCGTGCCCACAATGCCAAGCGGCTCCCTGCACTACCCACCCAGCCGCAGCCCCATGTCCCGGCACCGTGGAGCCAATACAGGCCCGGCTTAGGCCCCGCCTCCCCGACCGCACGCACCTCGCACAAACCGACGCAGCTGCGGAGCACCCTCATTCCATATACATGAGGAGCGCTCAGTGATTGGCCGAAGCGGGGTGGCGCGTGAGGGGCCGGCTCAGTAAATTATTAACGGTTGCCACGCAGGGGAGGGGAGCGCGCGAGCTGCACAGGGGTTACTACAGGGCGTTCGCTGCCGGGGTCAGGCGCTGTCGCGCGCAGGGCGAGGGAAGGCGGGGCCTCGGGACGGGGAAATAGGCTAGTGGGGCTGAGAGCGCGAGTAACGGATTTTCACTGACACGGTGCTACAAGTAACAGTTACCATTCAAACGCACTAGTGTCCATGGAGTAATTTATTATGCAAATAGTGTATATTACTGCACATTGTGTAAATAATTACTATGCAAACTATTGCCTCATTTAGTGCTGTAATATAATCCCCAATCACTTTGTAAACTCAAAGATTTACAAGCACTTGAACTGTGTCATTTTAGTTAATTTAAAGAAGGAGCAACATTTTAAATTAGGGAGATTCATTTTGTGTTTGCAGATGCTGTACTATTTGAAAATAAGTATCAACGCAGCAACATTATAATCAGAAGCACAAAATGAAGCATTTTTTTTTTAACTTCTAGAGCATGCGTACACTATAATATGAACATTTTACCACTCTTAAGTATGTTGAAGTAAGTGTGAAGTGGTAGAGAGATAACCACTTCCCCCTAGGCCACTTTCTCCATTTTTTTTTCAGTTGCTCCTATTAATTTTTAGCAGGGCACAGTTCATACCAAACAGTTAAAATGATTCTGGTACCCTGATCTATTACTCCTGTCTTCTCAGAATACAAGGACTCTTTTTATGTTAGGAGAGAACAGGAATATTCCCCTCAGGTCATCTGAGACTTATAGGCACCAGAAAGACTCATAGCTTGGCCTGGGCTGCCTGCTTCATGGTTTCCTTCTTCTGACATATGTGAGTTGTAGAGGTGTCCTTGTAATTACATGAATCTCCTTCAGAAAGGGAGGAAAATATTGCAAGATGGAAATAGTATATGAGAGATTTCGGAGCTTATTATAAGCAGCATGAAGGATCACAGGCCAATACAGGTGATAGCAACATTATAGGTAATATCACAGCATTAGATTAAAAATTCAAGAGTTCTTCTATAGTCATGAGGATAAGAAAAGGAACAATAGAAGCCTGTGTACCTGGAAATGGAAGAACCAGTCACCCACTTGTTCCAAGGAAGGAAAAAAATTTAATAATTTCAGAAGGAGGGAGTTGAAGTGACATTCTGCCAAGGGATTCACTTGTTTCAACAAACACATGCCAAATTAAAGACAATAGATAGGATGTGAATACAAAAGGGGAGAATTCAGAGTTGTGAAGAACTCTCTGGCTTGAACTTCTAGTCTTTTAAATTTTACTTCAAATCAGCCAAAGGACAGTTCCACAATAAAACAATAGCTATTTTATGTAAACACAGACAAGACTTCACAGGGTTCAGATTGCACTCAGCAAGGGAGAGTGCCTCGTGCATTATTATAGTTGGTGCGTGGATGACAGAATGAATCCTCTTTTTCTTGTGCTTACCTATGGGTGTTCTGTAAGAAATGACCACGCTGGGTCAGACCAATGGTCCACCTCACCCAGGATCCTGTCTTCCGATTGGTTTTGCTGGGAGCCTCCAGAATTACACTCTGTCTCCCGGAGGCTACTGAATCCAAACCGGGAGATTTTAGGCTGCTAAAAGTCTGTCAGCACAGCAGGGCTAAGGCAGGCTCCCTGCCTGCCCTGACCCTGCACTGCTCCTGGAAGTTGCTAGCAAATCCCTGCAGCCCCAGAGAAGGTGGGGGCAAGGGGTCTCAGTGTATTGCCCCCATCCCAAGTGTGACTCTGCAGCTCCCATTAACCCAATGGAGCTGTAGGGGCAATGCCTGCAGGCACAGACAGTGCAGAGTCCCCTGCCCCATCCCAGGGACGTGCTGGCCGCTTCCGGAAGCTGCACTGGGCCAGGGAGCCTGTCTTAGCCCTAACTGTGCCACCAACCGAGGTAAGTGCTGACCAGCCAGACCCTCACCCCCTCCCAAACCCCAATCTCTTGCCCCAGACCTGAGCCTACTCCCAGACACAAGGCGCAGGGCAAAGGTGTTTGGGTTTGTGTGATTAGACAGTTTGCAAGCCTACTTCCAATAGGTGCTTCAGAGGGAATGAACAGAACAAGTACTCATTGTGTAATCCCTCCTCTGTTGTCCAGTCCCAGCTTCTGGCAGTCAGAGGCTCAGGCCACCCAGAGCATAGGGTTGCATCCCTAACCATCCTGGCTAATTGATGCCATTGAGGGTCCTATCCTCCATGAATTTATCAAATTCTTTTTTGAACCTTGTTATAGTTTTGGCCTTTACAACATCCCTCGGCAATGAGTTCCACAGGTTGACTAGGTGTGATGTGAAGATGCACTACGCTGAGCGAGAGTCTCAGTTCCAGAGACTCATAGGACACCTAACTTGGAATTAGAAATGGCCCTGACCCAATCCCCTGGATTTAAAATCTACCAAAATTTAGGAAAGAGGGTGAATTTTTTACTCCAAATCTGGATCTCATTTCAAAGTTTGTACCTTGTCCCCATCTTTATAAAAGGCTGAACTAACATGCTGGATCTAAACTTGGCTGAATTTTGACATACAAATGCAAACTGTGTGTCACAGACCCATCTCCACTCTAAGTGGAGACTTCCCAGGACAATGCATTTGTTAATTTTTCCCCGCACAATATGGCAATATCAGGATCTCTAAAGACAACCTCTCCAGAAAAGCAAGTCTGAGAAACTAGTAATTGACGGCCCGATTTCCAGACATGCTGTGTACTCAAAGCTCTCATTGACTTTGTTTGGACTCCATTCAATAGAATGTGCGCATGCACAGAGTGCATGAAGCAATCTCTGCTTTCTGTAGAATTGAAGGGAGTGGGATAACAGCAAAACTAGCCTATGCTCCACTCTACATAGCTGCAATACTTTGATCAATTTGCACCCCTAACATTGAGTCCAGAGCACCCAGAATAGATACTATAGTTGGGTATAGATTGCTTTCAGAACACTGATCAGAGAATCCAACCCAGACAGAATCTTGTGTGCAGGACCTCATGCCTGGCAGGCACCCATTATGAAGCAGCCTTTACTTCCCCCAAAGGCTGTCCAGCACATTGAGGCTGAAAACTTAGTAAGATTCAGAAAGGAACTACACATCAATATCACCTAGAGTTAGTGAATGATAAATTTTAGGATATTCATACTTCAGGGTTTAAGCCAATCTTTAACAGAGATTAAAAGGACACCTAATGTAGGGGTTAGATTATCTCAAGTCTGCCTAATGCAAGGTTTCTTGCACTGTCCTCTGAAGCATTTGATGTGGCCTACTGCTGGAGACCGATTACTGAACAAGATAGACTACAGGTCTGATGCATTCTGGCAATTGCTATGTTCCTAACTCAGTCCAACAGCTGAGCAGAAAGGTTACCTGGTACAGACTGTGCATGCATACAAAATTTCAGACATCTCTACAAAACAAACAAAAAAAAAAAACAAAACACTGCAGTGTATCTGAAATAGATTTCTATAGGAACTTAATTTAACTCCCCCTGCAGCTCAGGAACCTCTTTGCAAGTTCTTGACACTTTTATGCAGAATGGGCAAAATTCTGCAGCCAAAAACATGCTAGATCTCTTTGGGTACATCTTTACAGGGATAGATTTATTTAAATAAAGACACCCACAAAGCCACGCACCAGCAGGTGGCCTGGATCAGCTGACTCAGCCTCCATGGCTCAGGCTGCAGGGCTAAAAATCACTGTGTAGACATTTGGGCCCGAGTGTCTACACAGCAATTTTTGAGCTCCACAGCCCAAGCCCTGGGAGGCTGAGAGAGCTGACCCGCTCTCGCTGCAGCTATGCTGTAAGTTTTTTATCTCTGGGTAGACATACCCTGTGTTGTTTTAAGGCAATATTATTCTTCTGGCTAAAATGCACTGCCTACTTATTTTAACAATCCCCTGACTGAGCAGCCTAAAAGGTGCGTATCAAGGGTGGCATGCCACCTGAGGCAAAATCTGGAACAGACCTTTGTTCAGTTCCTTGTGAAAGTACAAAGTAATCAGCTCAAGAAAGGAAAATGTTAACTGTGATTTCACTCTCCACGTGACTTTTTATGTAAGAGGTTTATATTGCTGTCCATTATTGGAGTGTCTGAACACCTTCCATGTAGCAAAGTCCCTAGGGGACTTCATGCAGTCTGCCACTTCTCATTGTATGGGGTCAGAACTCTGCTTGGAGTAACTTTTTTGTTTTAAAAAAGCGCAGAGGATGGTGGAATAAAAAGCGTGTTCAAAATGTGAGTGTCGCTTGTGGTGGCATCACGTCCCCTCAAAAAGCAAGGCTTTGCCATGTTTCCCAAAGATGGTCAGACTCAGCTCACCTGATCTCCTCTGGAAGATATTGATTGCTTTCGAAATTAGGACCAAGGCTTTACATGGCCATCACATGCTGACTGGAAGCCAGTGGAAGGACTTAAGCAGAGGCCTGATGTGCTCATGAGGGCTTGAGTCATGCAGAAGGTGAACAGCCACTTTCTGTACCAGCTGGAGCCTGTGCATCATCTTCACGTTCACCTTCAAATACAATGCAGCCCGGAGATGAGAAATGCATGGCCAGGTCCTCATCTAGGATGAAAGGTTCAAACCCACGCGTCAGTCCACTGCTTGATTACACAGGGTTTAAGGATTGGTGAGGTAAATGGGGAGTTTTTATGTTTCTCAGTACAAAGGCAGTTGGGCTTCCCTTTGCTAAAACGTCAGAAATGTTCCTAACTTGGAAAGCATCCTGCAGACTGTGCAGATCTTCCTAGAGAATCAGAGACCTGTAACCAGCTTCTCCTCTCTCTGTTGCACCAAGTGGCCTTATGGTATAAAAGAACACTTCCTTACTATCTGTTCAGAGCCTAATGACTCGTCAG